GTAGTAGGCCCCAATTAGCTTTAAAGACTGTTCTGGATACAGCCTAACAAAGATTAAACAGTATTCTCAAAGGGATCAAACTAATTTTGGAGAACTTCACTGTGTCTCAGAAAAAGCCCAGAAATGTTCAAAGGAATACTAAAAGGTCCTACAACATAAAACTTAGTTTTTGGCATCCATTAAAAACTTATCAGGCATGCAAAGAAATGGGAAAATACAACCAACAACCAAGGGAAAAAAATAACAGAAAAAGACAGAAATAACCCAGGTAATAGAATTAGTAGTTAAAAATGTTAAAGTAGTTATTAGACTTAGTTGTAATGATGTTGTCAAAAAGGATAAAATGATCCTATCCCCTCTTCTGCTCGGCACTTTGTTTTCTAAAACTATTTCCTTCAGACTGTCTCTTCTGGATCAGTTTCACGATGGGGATTGGTCATTAATTAGAACAGCTGGTCATTAATTGGGGTACTTCTTCCTCTTTAAAAGTAAGGCAGATATGTGATGGGGAAATGCAGATCCGTTATTAGAATTGGCAGTGGGAGAATGCGGTAATGCATCCCATGATTCTGTTTTCTCTGTGAAGTATGAGGTGAGGTCATCACCTCAGAGTTGTCAGGGGGACCTTAAGAGAGACGAAGGTATGTGTAGGAAAGCTAATTTACTAGAGAAATGTGGTATGATTGAAGGACTAGCTGACAGCTCGGTGTTTATGATCATTTCAAATGAGACCAGTCAGCTCACGTAAGCAGTTGAATGCAAGCATTAAACTTGAGTTCAAGCACCAACTAGGTATACAGTAGGAGTTTTTCTAGGGCAAAGGTTTGCCCAGAATGGACAGAGGAAGGAGAGAGGGATGAGAGGTAGATCATCATGATAAACCATGGAATCTAAGCTGGTTGGGGAGGGAAAGGACATCAGGGAGCTGATAAATAGTGGGGGAGTGGTAGCAGTCACTGAAATAAAAGGCTCTGTGGGAGGGATGTGCTAGATTGGGTGAAACTAAGTCAGGAGAGGGTGGTGGTTAAAATGTGAGACGCTTGATTTTAGATGTCAGAGGTGGTACAATTACCAGTGAAGGCAGGAGCTAGAGTATAATCACAAGTGGTGCCCAAGGTGGAATAAAGGATCAGATTAATGTGGGTGAAGTCATGATGGTAGAAGAGTGTTAGTAGTTGAGAAGAAGACTGGGAGCTCTGACTTGACCAAGAGAGTGTGTAAGTCAGCTTTGGGAAGAGTGATAGGTATGAATTTCAGAGGGGTTATGATTTTTGAAAGGACAGTGAAGACAACATGGTATGGGATTTCTTTTCACTAAAAGCAAGGAGGGTGAATAGTTAACCCATCTCTGAGTATGTGGGTTATATATGTTTACGCTGTACTGGGGTCAGTTAAGTGTGCAATAACATGTCAAAAGAAAAGTACACATCTTAATTAAAAATACTTTATTACTGGAGGACTTGTGTGGCTCAGCTGGTTTCACATCTGACTCTTAATCTCAGCCTCAGGTCTTGATCTCAGGGCCATGAGTTTAAGCCCCCCAAAAATACTTTATTGATGAAAACCATCATTCAGGCTTTCAGTGAATTGTAATTCATTAACAAGTATAATAATGACAAAATTTGAAATATTGTGAGAATTACCAGAATGTGACACAAAGATAAGAAATAAGCAAAAGCAGTTGGAAAAATGAGGCCTATATGCTTGATCTGTTCAGGGTTGCCACAAACCTTCAGTTTGCAAAAACTGTGAAGCTCTATGTAAATATCTTTACAGTGAAGGATTTTGGTACAGTATGCTTATCGAGGATCCAGTAAGTGGACCTTTGGTATTCTCATCAGGGGTTCTCCACGGGGACTCTAGTATTCTCTTCATCCTCAGGACATTCTGGAAAATTGTGGGGATGCCTTTGATAGTCACAATTTTAGGGAGATGCTTTTGGGGTTAAGAACATTGTGAGTTCCACTGTGCAAAGGGTAGCCCTGCAGCGCAAAGAATTGCCCTTACAATTTTGACTATCCCCCAGAATATCCTAACAGGTTAAATTTCCATTTGTAAATTATCTGAGTCTAGGACCTAATTTCATTTTACATGTAAAGTGTTTTTTGTGCAGTGTATTTATTTTTATATTTATTTTTATATATTTACACATGTATTAACATTTCTAGGATTGCTGTTAGTATATAAAGTAATATATGTATATAAAATAGGGAAATGTTGTATTTCATTTAGAACTTTTGTAGGGGTTGTTACCATTTTGGAAATAACTTCGTCAACATCATTTTTGGGATTTGAGTCAACAGACCTAAAGCGTAGCGTCTGTTCTTTTTTAACTGTTACATTCACAGTGATTCTTTGTGGACATGTAGCATCTGTGATGGCTTCATTTTGTCTTCCTAAGTAATATCCCAAGTATTTACGTGTTGTAGTACATACTTTATTGTAAATTACTTTCCTTTTATTCTCCTTTGTTTTGCAGTTACGTTCTTAGATTGAATATTTTTTCTAAATGCATAAAGTAGAATAGTAAAATAATTTAAAAAGGAGCATTAGGTCTGATAGGGTTGAAAATACCTTCTCAACTGGGCTCAAAACATGAGCTATGTAATTAGGTTTTAGTTAAAGATCTGGTTGTGCACTTAACCCCAAGTCTGATCTGATTGAGATCCTTTGTAAAGTATAGCATGGTGGCTTACATATAGTAAGTGCTCAGATCTTTTTAACTTACTATTTTAGCTTCACTTTTAGTCCTTGAAGGATTTTTAGTCCTTGAAGGATAGAAACATGTTTTTTAGGTTGTTTTAAAAAATTTCAACAAATTTCCATTACAACAAATTATTTTTGTTACAGAGTATTTTGATAGTGAGTATGGATTTTGATACACCTGTAGCTGTATTTATGACAGAATGTGAAATACTAAACAGGGTAGCAAAAAACATGGCCTTAAGTAGACAAGTGTGTCAGCCAAATGGATTGTCTTCTCAACTTAAACACATGATTGGTTTCCTGGTGAATGCTGAAATGTATAAAATGCATTTTGAAGAATTCATCAGGTGAAAAAGTTTTCTGCACTTTTTAACAGATTCTGTACGCTTTAGTGATTTATAGTTTTTAAGGCTGTTCCTTCACACAAATCTACACATTTGAATCTATTAATTCCTGTTAAAAGGTTGGGACAGCCTCTTAGTCTAAAAGATTTATAATTGCTTCTTACTTGATCTCCCTACTCTGGTTTTCAAATTTATAGCCCCTGCTCAAAGTTGTCAGGAAGATCTTTTTAAAATTTGAATTTGGTTGTTGCTCGATATCTAAAATCCATAAATTGTTCCTTTTTCTGATAGAATAAAATGCAAAAACTCCATAACGGGGTTTCCTGGGCCTTGATGATCTGACCTCTTTTTCTAGTCTTTTCCCTTTCCCCTGCTTACATTCTATAGTATTTATTTATTGCTGCATAATAAATCACTCCTAAATTTAGTAGCTTAAAACAACAAACACTTATTATCTCACACAGTTTCCAAGGGCTAGGAATTACCAAGTCTGGTAAATGTAGGATGGACCACACAAGGCTGTGAATGCCAGGGGACACGCATCATTGGAGGCAAGCTACCACAGTAGCCACATGCGAATACTCTTTCAAAGCCCCCACAGGTCTCATCCCATTATAGTATCACCTTATCGTCCAGAATCTCATGCAAATCAGTTTCAGATATATTCATGCTGCTCAGATGTAGTTCCTTAGGTACAGCTTCTCAAATTTCTCTCAATCTTTTAAGCTAAAGAGAAATATCTGCCCCCCCCATACCCAAAACACTATACTGGGTAAAGCTTAGGATAATCCTGTAAAGCATTCCCCATTCAAACCAGGTGGCAGAAGATGGAGCGTGGTAGACACAAGAAGGTTCCTGGTCCAAAGCATTTTTGAAATCCAGTTACACAATTACAGTAGTTCCTTGGTTGGATGTCAGTTCCTGAGTATAATTTATATAAGACCCTCAGCTTTGCCCTTTTGGCATTTGGTTCTGCCCTCTTCTTACTCCTTTTTCATGAAAGGTAGAATGTGTTTGTTACTGAGTTTTCTTAGCTTGCTTCCTGCCAACATTCTGGGACTCTGAAGATCTTTTTTCATTCTGTATTGTCTCTTGTCTATTGTTCAAGTTGGCTGTGTTTCAGAATATGTAATTCTTTTTAAAAGTTTGTAGGTCTTCTATGTATTTTATTGGAATCTATTTTATTAATTGAATGCCACACCCGTACTTGTCCAGATAAGCCTTTTTACTATCCTGAGCTGCTGCTGAGAGACCACACCATTAAGCCTCCTTTGGGGGGGGGGGGGGGTCGGTCTTTTTGTTTGAGAGAATCTGAAGTGAGTAGTTCTCTTTACCAGGCCTTTTATCTGGAACAGTCTTTGATCTTTCTGAGGTTTTTAACACAAGATTTATAATAAGTCAATCCTTCCATTTAGTTTTAGACCACATTTTTCTGTTAGTGCTGTGGATTTGATCTTGGCTTAGAGTCCATTTCTAAATTTCAGCATTTGCATCCTGGAGAAACTGCGCATTTTCAAAACCATCAAGTCCTGGCTCTTTAACAGTTCTTCATTCAGTTTATTTTTTGTCATTTTCTTTTTTTTACTGTATAAAGCAGAAAAACAAGTCAGTACTTTCAGCTCTCAGTTTAAAATCTCTTTAGCTAAATCACCTGCTTTATTAGGTAAATTTTTCTACTTTTCACATAACTAAAGGTAACAGTGTTACTAAATTTCCTGCCCTCATCTGCAGAAATCATCCCTTTTCTTAAAGGAAACACCATGAAGCTTTTATTAACAGCTTCTTCACTAATACTGTCCTTAGAGGCCCTGGTCTAGTTCCAAAGCCATTCTAACATTTTCAGTTTTTGTTACATAGTGAGGACCTAATATCAACATATGTGTTGGTTATCTGTGGCTGCATAACTAACTACTTATCCAAACCCTAGCAGTTTAAAACAGTCTGACCTACCTTTTCTCAGGATTAGCAATCTAGGAGTTGCTTTTTTATGTGATTCTGGCTGGATATCTACAGAAAGCTGTTCAGGGTTGCAGTCATCTCAATTCTGCTTCCAGGCTTACTTATGTTGGCAGGAGCCTTCTGTTCCTCATCACATGGGCCTGATACTACCTGTCTGTTCTCGCAACTTGACATCTGGCTTCCCCAGAGCAGATGATGCAATAGAAAGAGTGTGCTTATGTCAGAGAGTGCCTAAAACAGAAGCTGCAGTCTTTTTATAAGCTTATCTTGGAAGTGATACACCATCATCTCTGCTCTATGCTACCAGAAACCCTCTGCTCAATAAACTGCTTACTGTTCTTAATACTCTTAGTTGCTTAGCTCTGCCTTTGCTTACACTGTTCCTCTTTTCTTTCCATGGGTTCACTCAACAAACTCCTGTTTGCTATCAGCTTTGATGAAGCCTTTCTTGAAACACCTCCCAAGCCCTGTCATACAAAACCTGAACTTGTAGAAAATAAATTCACTTATATCGGTTTTTCTTATACTGAAAGCCCTTTGAACACAGAAACAAAGTTGTATCTTAAACACTTAATATTGTTCCGACACAAATGTTTCTTAATGTTTGTGTTCTGAGAAGATCTAGGTATTTCACGATTTTTTTGTGTTCTAAAATGGTAATCAGATATCTGTTTTAACTATCTGTGCTTTTGGAGTGAGGAATGAAGTAGGGTTTAAGCTATAATTTTTGTATACTTTTGTCAGATTAGGAAGAACATGAGACATTCTAATAATTACACCAAAAAGTTTAAGCCAGAGAAAATGTCATGACCTTTCCAAAAATATGTGTTGTGAAGCACTGTGCTAGAAGTACTTATTTTATATTGTGTTGATTTGTCAACTATTGTAAGTTTACACTTACAGAGTATAATGATAAGTATTATGGGCTCTGTAGACATGTCTTTTCCTTCAAGGGCTTATAATTCATATGGTAAATAATCTGAGGCAGTTGTTTTAAGTCCTTGTTTTAAAGAGCAGAAATACCTATTTTTACTCTGGGTAGTTTATCACTCAGAATCTAATAAAACTGTGGAAACTGACTTCTGACATTAAGTTCCTAAAAAGTCATTTTTCCCCCGTTGGAAGTAAATACGAGTAAAATCAAGTAAGGTCAAAATCAGTCATTTAATTCAGTGTTTACATTGAAATGCCTTTTCTCTGATCTAAAGGTGTTCTTGCAAACCAAGATTTTGGCTGCAAATACCACTTTATTACCTTCTCTGAAGTTTCCTTTTTCTCTACCATAGAGACATCTTGAACTGTATACGAATTCTGTATGAATTTTTTGCCTATAGTGAATTTTTCCTTTGCAATGCAATTCCAATAAAATAAGAGCAGTCTTTTTTTTTTCTTGGTGTATCGGTAAACATCATAGAATCAACTCCACAAAAGTGTTCTTTCATCTTGAGTTTTTCTGTCACTATCTAAAAACATCTATTGAATTCTTTTTTTGTTGTTGTTCAAACTTCAGTGTTGTGATTTTGTAGAATATGCTGTAGAAATTCCTCCTAACTTCTGTAGTGATGAAACATTTTCTTGGTATTTTTTTGAAGATTTAACAGAGTAAAGAAATGTTTGATAGGATTAACATTCTCCCCTGGTCTTTATCTTTTTAGGATTGGGTTTTTTCATATGAAATTTCTCAATTGAACCTCGGTTTTTGTTAATATCTAAAAATATTAGGAAGAATTCCTAATACTTTGCATCACTTGGAAGAAACCAATTAAATAACTATAATGTCTCTTTAATTACGCCCAGCTACCTTAAGTCCTTCCTGGAATAAATCTTAAGTTTGAATTAAAAAGATCTGTAATTTCTAAGAAAGTGGCATGAAACAAGATAACCATTCATTCCTAGTATATATGCATCTTCTAAACATATTACTGGGGCCTGTTGGAGAGGCATCCTTACGATATAAATATATTATGCTACCCATAACATCTTGATGTTATGCTGTCCTTTCACTAAGTTTAATGCATTCAGATTTAATGTGAATTACAGTGGAGAAGTTAGAGAATGAGGATGAAAGTTCACCTAGGCTAGCAAGAGCATAAAATACCCTGAATAAAAATTCTTAAGTAGTTCACATGTTATCATCTCCATTGCTACTTCCCTAATTCAAAGTACTGTCATCTCTTGCCCAGATTTAAGTACCTTCCTAACAAGTCTTCCCAAGACTGCAGTTCCTGCCTTCGCCAGTATCAAAACCAGTGGTCCTTTGAAAACTGAAATCTCATTGTGTCACTTCCTGCTGAAAACCTATAAAGAGCTCCCATTGCTTTTAAAGTGACTTGTATATTAGCCCTTCTGTAATCTGGCCCCTGCCTGCTTTTAGTTCCTCCAAAGCCTTCCAGGTCCCACCATCCACAGGATCATTTCTCATTTATTGCCATGTACTGATTAATTATTTCTGTACAGATTGGTTTAGTAATCTCCCACAGATCCTCACATCACAGCTCTATGTCACTTCTTAGTTATCTACCTATTAGGGTAGATCTGTTACATGCTGCTGTAACATAACTTTTTTAGCAATTACTGTTAAAAATTTCCGTTTCATTTGTGTGGTTACTTAATTAATCTTTATATATGACTCTTAGTTCTAAGTACCTTTAGCACTGGAACTTATGCCTTAATTATTTGTTGCATTAAAGGCTGGATTGGCCAGTTAATTTATGTGTGTGTTTCTAATTCAGTCTATCCTGGAATTGGTGTTTAGAGATTAACAGCATAAGTCCCATTGTAATTTAGAATTACATGAGAGTAATGATGTTTCCATCAAATTTTCCTGCTGTACGGTTACTATGTGATTAGACAAGTCATATAACTCCTAGACCTCACTTTTACCATTTGTAAAAGAAACTGGAACTAGTTGATCTGTAAGCTCGCTCTGACTTGGATGTTCAGTGATGTTAATGGTTTCCCCTTCATCATCAGGAGAAAGATTGATTTTTTTTTTAAAGATTTCATTGATTTATTTGAGAGAGCGAGCATGAATGCACAGGTGGGGGGGAGGGGCAGAGAGAGAGGGACAAGCAGACTCCCCACGGAGTGCAGAGCCCAGCATGGGCCAGGACCCTGAGATCGTGACCTGAGCCCAAGTCAGACGCTTAACCAGCTGAGTCACCCAGGTGCCCCCAGAGACTGATTTCTAACTTCATTGTCCATGGGGTTGATTTGGAGGTTCTGTTCTATGTGACCCCACTCCAGGATTCAGCTGACAGAGCAGCCTCTATCCTGAACTTTGCTGGACACTGTAATAGAGGAAAGAACTCTGAAAGATCTCATATCTTGTGTCAGTTATTCAAATGCTCTGGCCAGAAATTACATGTCACCTGGGCTCACAGCTCATTGGCCAGAATGAGCCACATGGTTGCACCTAGCTAACTATGAAGGGACCAAGAGATACAATCCTACCGTATGACCAGAAGGCAAAGAAAAAAAATGATTTGGCAAACAACACTAATGACAGATTTGCCCTTCTGGTCAACCAAAGATTTGAATCACTGTCTTTACCACAAAATATACTCATCTACTCCACAGTGAACCCATCCCCAAAGTCCCAGCTAAACAGCATCAAGCTTGAAAAATTAGGATTTCCAGGTGATACACATAATTCTCTACATTGGTTTGGATCTGTTTCCCCTTGATCTGGAGATCTGTGAATGAAAATACTATCTCTACCTCTGCTGTACGCATACCCCATATACATGAGAAAAACAGGGCCATGATAACCACAATAAACACTCCCATTTGGATACTAGAAGATTGAGGGAAACCTAGCACTCCATAATCCATAGCAACTCAAAAATCGCACCAGGCTGACTTTGTAAGGGTCCCCTTCCCCTGGCTATGGGCAATATTTTTGTTTATATACTAGATCTCTCCTGGAGGGTCTCCTCAGTCCATTGTTTTTTGTGGTTTTTGACATTCTTTCATTCTCCATGGTCTTTCTTCACCTCATCTGACGTGATATTGGAAAATAGGCCCTTTGGGGAGCTAATGCAAGTGTACTTTTAAATCGGATTTTAATCTCGGCTTTTGATTTTTGATTGTCAGCAGCACAGCTCGGTAGGCTTCTAATGTGTTTCCATTTAGTTCTGAATGCCAGTAGCCTGTATTTATAGTTCTTCATCAGATGTCAGCCTCCTAATTGCTAGTAGCATAAACCTATTAACTTTTGCTGGAAAGCTACACTCTAAGTGTCTACTCTCTTTTTCCTGTGAGGATTATGTTCAGCTGAAAGCAAGAATGCAGTTTTAATTGTGTCTCTGCTTTTGAGACTCTAATCCATTCAAATGTTTTATTGTAAGTATCATGGCAGCACTCTGATTTAAACCTTGGCTTCAAGGTTGATTGCTCTTCCTTTGTTCATCAAAGGCCTTCTTGATTTTTACACTTACAGCTTGGGTTGAGAAGCATTCTTAAAATGCTACAAGTCGCTGAATTTTTGGACTCTTCATTCCTGCTTACCAACTGATCAGTTTTAAAAATTTGTTTCTTATAATACCAAACACAGAGCAACCAACACACCATTTTAATGGTTAGGGGTTTTTTTAACCTCTTCTAGAGCTACAGGTTTATTAAGTACATTATTTGCTTCTTAAGCTATCATAACTGACTTTTACCAAGTATTTTGTGCTGCCTAATATGGATTCTAGCCTTCCATCCTCTGAGAAGTTTCCTTACTTCTCAGGAAACTCAAGCAAGTTTCCTTGCTTCTTGGCCCCCAAATTAATGGCATATATTTAGCCTTTGTGTTGTAACAGTATCCCATTTCTGGAACCAGTTTATGTCATTGAGGATCAACTAGGTTATGATGTAATAAGAAACAAGCTTAAAAGTTCATTTCTTATTTTATGTAACATTTTTTTCATGAATCAGCTGGGGAACCAGGCATATGTAGCAGTCAGGTATGGTGGCGGGTGGGGGGAGATTTCAGATCTTCACCATCAGATAAATACTCTAGCCTAGAAATAGTAAGTTGCTCTGATTCACAACTCATTGACCAGGATTAGTCACCTAGCCCCACCAGCCGCAGAG